ACCTGAAACCTGAAACCTGAAACCTGAAACCTGAAACCTGAAACCTGAAACCTGAAACCTGAAACCTGAACCCTGAAACCTGAAATCTAAATGGTGAAATCTAAAATCTAAAAGGTTAACCTAAAATAATAAAAAACCTATTAAAAATATTACAATATTACTCATTCAAACTTTATATTAAAACAGTTCTGTAAATGTTATATATGATTCACAATAATATTAAATAATGCTTATAAATATCCTTAAAATATATATTTATACATTTATATTTGTTATCCATACTTAATAATATTCATTACATTATATTTTTAAAATTTAATCTTTATTATTATACTTAATATTATTATTACTCGTATAATAATATAAGTTATGATACACCTATCTCTTCATTTTTCTTTCTTTTCATAACATATACCATTTAACTTATCAATAAAAAAAAAATAATTAAATAATTTAATTTTAATATTATTTATGGACATATTAATTAATATGATTTAATAATAAAAAACAAAAATAATTAATTTAAATTTTAATATTATTTATGGACATATTAGTTAATATCATTTAATAATAAAAAACAAAAATAATTAATTTAAATTTTAATATTATTTTTTGACATAATAGTCAATATCATTTTGTAATAAAAAACAAAAATAATTAACTTAAATTTTAATATTATTTTTTTATATAGTAGTTAATATCATTTAGTGATAAAAACAAAAATAATTAATTTAAATTTAAATATTATTTCTCTATTCTTCAAAAAATTAAATTCCACAACATTATAGTTTTCAATCAGATAAATGAAATAAAAATATAATTAAACGTTAAAATCATACTTCGTATTATTTACGACATAATCATCCTCGTTACAACAAATGTTACATAAATATAATGTATATTATTTCCTTCATATATTGAATTATAAATTATCATTGTTTTTACTATTTAATAAAAAAAATTTAATTCTCCACATATATATATTCTATTTCGATTATTTTTTTTATAATTTGTCACTTCTATAAAAAAATAAAAAATATTTTTTATATCAAATAAAACACATTAATGCATGCATATAATATAATTTAAATAGTTATTGTATATACAAGGTGAAATATACTTGAATTTAACATACAAAAAGTTCAGTAAAATTTTAATTTAAAGTTAATCTCAATAAAAAGTATTTTACAATAATAGCTGTATATCAATAATTTCACATTTAATTTTTTCTATTACTTGATATTCTCATATATTTTATATTGTATCAAGTAAATTATATTTAAAATGTGTCATAAATCATTAAATAAACATTTTAAAAGTAGTACAAAATAAAACCATAAATCATATATATTCGAGTATAGCAAATATTTTATAATATTTCTTAAAAAATTATGTGTTATTAAAAAAAATTTTTTTTCCCTTTTTATATAACAAAAAAAAATAATATTATTAATATTTTAATCTTCTTAGTAAAATTAGTTTTTATTCTTCCTCTAAGATATCTTCATGTTCAAGATAATTTCTTCCTTCACTTCCTACGTACATTCACTCTTCTCTCTTTTTTAAATGTAATTAATTTATATTCTCAAAAAAAAAAAATACATTTAGCATTTTTTTCATTTTTTCTTTTTCTAATTAGAAATAGAAAAAATAAAATATAATCCTCAAAATAATATAATTATAAATAATTTCTCAAAAATAAATATGACGAAAAACTAAAATAAAGATTTTTATATTCACATTTCAAAAAAAAATATCAATATAAATAGCATATAAAAGGAAAAAAGTTAAAAATAAATATAGAATAAAAAAAAGATATTTATAATAAAAATTAATTGGTTTATTTTTTTTATTTATAAAAATATATATTATATAATGTATTCATTAATATTCCTATTTAATTTAAATTAAAAATTTTTTATTTTATTTATTTTACGATTAGTGCATTACTAAATGAGAAATGAATTAAAACGATTTATTTATATTCTTATAAAAATTATTGTAAATTTTTTTTTATTAACTTTAAAATTTATATATAAATAAAAATTCTTAAAATAATAAAAATATATAGATAAAATAAGAATAAATGAAATTTACAATTTTAGAACTAATTTTTTCTAAATTCCTTTTTTTCCATATAATTAAATGAAAACAATAGTTTTTTTTTTATTAATAGTTTAATAAAAATAAAAGTAAATTCTTTAAAGTTTATCGAAAATATCTATAATTAAAATTATAACTTTTCATTTATTCATTAAAATTATTCTAATGTAAAAGTCTGCAACGAATTATTTCAATTAAATATAAATTTCATTAAAGAAAAAAAAAATATATATTTATATCATCTATGATACTTTTTCTTTAATTGTATAACATTATAATCTAAATGTACTTTTTTTTTTTAACACAGCTATTAATCATTTATAAAAATCTCTTTTTGCGTAAATTATATTATAAGTAAAATAAAAATTATAATTTTTCAAAAAATCTCCTATTTTAAAAATATATAAAGATGAGAAGTAGTAACACTATCAATTTTATTTTACAAGGAAGATTTTTAGTATTCAATAATAAAAGTATAAATAATTTAGATATTTCTTCATTTAATAGGGGGAAAAAAATTTTTCAAAAAATCATCTTCTCAAACTTTTTGTTTTCTAAACTTTTTATTTTGTATTTCTTCTCCTTTTTATATCTCTCCTTATTAGTAAGATAAATTTCAAATTTAAAAATAAATATACAATTTTAGCTTTATTATGTTATTAAATTAAAATACTGTTTATTTATAAATCTTTTCAATACATATGTTTTAAATGTTATTATAGAATACATGCATATCTAAGAACAATGCATTTTCAGAATTACAATTAAATAAAGTGTATCACAGAAAATTAGCTCAATGTATCCCCAAAAAATGGAATCGTTCAAAGAAAAAAAAAAATAAATATAATATAAAAGAGGATGAAAAATCTCAGTCAAATGATATAAGTTCTATAAAGTCTGAATTTAATCAAAGTGATAAATGTAATCATGAAAAGCAATGCGAATCAAAAAAAGAAGAAATATTAGAAGAAAGTGGTCGAATTGAAAAGAAGAACCATGAAATGTTTGATGAAATGGATAAACAGAAAATTCATGATGAAATGGACAAACGTGAAATGAAGGATGAAATTGATAAACTTGAAATGAAGGATGAAATGGATAAACAGGAAATGCATGATGAAATGAACAAACGTGAAATGAAAGATGAAATTGAGAAACATGAAATGAACGATGAAATGGGTAATCAGGAAATTCACGATGACATGGATAAACGTGAAGTGAATGATGAAATGGGCAATCAAGAAAATAAAAACGAAGGTTGCGCAATTACATTAGGTGAAAGTAGTTCAGGTTTACAAGATCAATTGTGTAAAGATGTAAAATATGAAAAGAGTCAAAATTTAGACGATGTATCAAGCAGAACAGATATGTATATTCAATTTTTTATGATGGCAAGGAGATGGTAATCAGAAAAGAAATTTCCGGCAAGTAGGACTTTATTTAGCAAATATATTTGGTTCACTGATGAATACACATAATTTTGATAAAGGTTTCCTAAAAAAGGAATGAAATAAATGGTAAAATGATATTTTAAAAGATTTAATAGGTATGCAAACTGAAGATAATAAAACTTTTTATTCTTAAGGGAGAATCATGGAAACCTGAAAAATTTAAAGATGTTATAGATACAAATATACAAGTATGGAAGCACCATAAGATAAATACAAAAAAAAAAGTGGAAACATATTTTGATTGAAGACGTTAGCAAAAGAAAAAAAAGATTTATAGATAATTTATACCAAGGTTCAAAATGCATTGCGAATCCAGTGTAAAAAATATCAATTGGAATTTTAATATATATCATGGTAATCATAATAAATAAATAATGATACAGTGTTTTAAAAGAATATTATTATCATTATTCTATTATAAAATTCTGTTACTAAGATGAGTGTATAAAAAGAAAATTATATACATATCCATGGGATATATATTTATTTTAATACATCATATATAATAGGGACCCTTATATTACTTTAATATAAATTTATTATATTTTTATTAATTTTTTTTTCTTATTTTAATTAATGATATGAAAATTAAAAAAAAATAAAATATATAATTTTTTTTAACCTCATAGTTAATAACTCCTATTTTTATTTATAAAGATATTGTATACTCTAAAATATTAAAATATCAATTATTTTTATTTATAATGTTATCTGTTTTTATTAAGGAATAGTATTTTTTTCATCTAAAATCTACGTGTACGAGTACATAACTAAAGAAAATTTTTAAACTCTTTTTTTTTTCGTTCATTATTAAATAAATTAGTAATTAATTTAATTCTTAGTGGAGATAATGTAAATAGAGGCACGATCAAGAAAAAAATAAAAATGTACATATTCATTTTGATGATAAAATATACACATAAAATAAGCCATGACCTTTGATATATATTTTCGAAAAGAAAGATAAAATTGAAATATATGTTCTTGTTATAAATATTTTTTTAAAAATATAATATGAAAATATAAAAGAAAAGGAGAATGAAGAAAAAGAAAAAGAAAAAGAAAAAGAAATGGTGCCATCTGTATGTTGAACTCTATATAAAACAATGAATCTTTTATGTATCAATATAAAAACAAAAATTTTGTTTTCATAGTAAAATATTTTATGTTCATCTTATTCTTTTGTATAATTAAAATATATATTTGTCTTTTTTTTTTAAAAACAATAAACATAAGAAATTTATGAATTATCTACTGTAATTTAAAGATTTAAATATGCGTATGTTCTTTGATAAACATTTGAGGTGAAATGTAGACACACATTATACATAATATTATGAAATTAATATATCAATTTTTTTATATTACATTTATGAAAAAAAATATTAACAATTCAATTTATATTTAGGATATTCCTCACTAATTTTTTATAAAAAAAATTATTATTTCAATTCATTAATCTGTGTATTTTCGTATACCAAAAAATTCCAGAAGTATATTTAGGTATTCATTATGTTTTTATTAAAACATAATTTAACATAAATTTCTTTCTTATCACCATAGTTATTATAAAATAAGCATTCCTTTTGATAACCACATGGTGAAAAAGCATCCCTGCAGTATTTCATTATGTCCATTACAAGCATCTATTTCATTACAATGTATTTAAATATAACAGATTTATGTGTACTTTTTAGTAATATATTCACTATTTTTATAAAAAATAGCATTTTATTTATTAGAAACATTATTATTCAACTATAAAACGTCTTGTTTTAAGATTAAAAAACAGTGTATTCCAATATTTATTAACAGAAAAAAATATTTTTGAAGTAAATAAATGAAAAACATCTTATATAGTAATTATGTATAACATAAAAATGCAAACAAGTATTACTATAAATAAATATTTTTATTATATGTATATATAATAAAAGTGATAACGTTTGTATAATTTTTTTATAAATGATATAATAAACTATTTAAGAAAAATAAATTTTGTTGCATAAATTATTAGTTTATTAATAAATTAAAATACACAATCTATTAAGATATATTCTAAAAAAAAAAAAATTATTCCATCTTTTTTATGTTTAAATATATAGTATATATATATATTTATTATAATAATTCAAAACACCATAATAATAAATAATTTTTTCTTACTATACTAAAATTAGTATAAAGGTAACTTGTTTTTATATAAGCTTACTATGTGGTTAATAAAAGGCTTCATTAACCTTTTTGGCTATAAAAAGGACTAGGTATGTTGAGAATACATAGTTGGTTGTGCTAACCAAAAAAAAAATTATTGGAATTTTTTTTGAGATATGTTTCTTGTGAAAAAGATAAAGATAAAAAAAAAATAAAATAAAAAAAAAGATGATTATTTTTTTTTGGTGAGAGAAGAATTTTATTGAGAGAGAGATTTTTTTTTACAAAAGATAATAATGTTTTTATGAAGAAGTTTAATTTGCATAATATTTATATTTTGAATTTGTGAGAGAAAATTTTATATATGTGACACTAAAATTTTTACGTAATTAATATTCATATAATATATTTACATTTTTACTTATTGTTTATGTTTGTTAATTCAACAGCAATATGTTTAAATTGCTGAATATAATTCATAACAAAGATGTAATTAATTTATATTTAATCAATAATCAATATTCAATAAGGATTTAAATTTTTAATAAAAATAAGGATTTTTATTAAAGTAAATAAATGCCTATTAAAATCAAAGAATGCTGAATGGAGTAGATTATATAATTAAGATATACTCGTTCAAAGCATATAAAAATACATATAAATACAACAAAAAGCGTAGGGACACCTCTACATGCTCTTTATTAATTTGTTTGTTCAGTACTTTAGTGAAGTTACTAAACATCCAGTTAATAAATCATAAAGCTAGTCCTTTTTATTTCCAAAAAGGTTAACAAAGCCTTTTAATAACCAAATAGTTAATTAATAAATTATTTTTCTACACTCTTGAACTAACAAATTATTAAGAATCAAGCGGAGGATTCTCATACTGTTTTTATTTACTATTGAAATATATATGTGCATATAATAATTTATTTTAATCTTAAATTCAATTTTTTACTATATCGTAAAACATATTAGTGATTAATAAGCAAAATAAGAACAAATTATGTTTTGTTCTATTATGCTATTTTCCTATTTCATTTAATTTTTTCAAAAATTAAATTAATTTTGAAAAAACGGATTTTCAACAAAATCAGAAAAAAAAATTATCCAATAAAAAAGTATTCAAAAACAATAGTATTTCTTTCTTACATAAAAAAAAATATTAGAAAAAAATTATTTTTTTTTTTAAAGAGGTTTTGTACCAAAGTAATTACATATTATTCATACAACTATTATTCTCAAAAAGGTTAATGTCTATTAAAAAAAATATATATCCTAAAATTTCTTACATAGTTAACTAGTAACTTTTCATATATGCATGTACGTGTATGCATTTTTATTGAATACTTGGCATGCACAAATAAAAATACATTTACTTAATTTATTAATATAAATATTATGTAAAATATGTTAATGGTATATTTTATAGGTCATTACATGATAAAAAGAGCATATATAATGATACATATTTTTGCTTAACATTTATCTATATTTGCATTTAACTAAATATAATATTGATTTATTTAAAATATTTTTTACATATTCTTCACTTAATGAATTTTTCTATTTTACAGAATATGAATGAACATACATTCTACTATCTTACTAAATAATTGTTAGTAAATGAATAAGTTGATATATTTTTCATATAATAAAATTTTAATTTTTTAATATAACTAATATATCCGTTTTTGCAAATAATAAATTATGTGTTAATCTAATGAATAATATATAAATTCATAGCAATATAAATAAATTTTTAAAAATGGATTTATTATTTTTTTGTTTTCATCTTTTTCTTGAACTTTTGATTAAGCTCATATGATCTAATGTCTTTTCTAACTAATAGATATCTTATTAATTTCTTCTTAAATTTTTTTATAATGATAATTACACAGTTTATCTACCTATTTGTAAAAATAGTCACATTTTCCATATTTATTTTTTAATTTATTTCTTAAATTGTTTCAATTCTCGTATGTACTACTGCTTTCTTTCTTATTTCATCATTAAATATAAATTTATTAGATGAATTCATTTCGTATCCTAAATATAATAAATCGTTTATTTTTTCGTCTACATTAGCTCTAATTCTTTTTTTCAATGAAAGTATGTTCTTTGTATCTTGAATTTTCTTAAAATTATCAATTAATGCTCTATCTATATCTTGATAAATTGCAACAAAAAAATAAAGAATATATATATTTTTTTTAATCTTTTGTAAATTTATTTACTGAAAGCACTTTAAATAATTTTTAAATAGTTTTTTTTTTTTTTTTTAAATATCTTTCTTAAAAACTTCCATTAGATAAGAACTTTGTTTTTCTTCTTTAGCTATTTTTTATTTAATATTTTTCTTTTTAATAATATTTATCCTTTGTTCTTTTTTAGTGATAAATTTATAAACATTAAAAGAATTTTGTAATTTATTATATTATTTTTCTTGAACAATATTTTCTTTAGATAAACTTAGCTTAAGTAATATATTTATTTTAAAGTTTTTAATAGATTTATCATGCATCATGCATTCAGTGAATGTAATTTTCTGAATAAATTATTTTCTATGAGATGGTCCCGCTTTATCATGTGCAACATCAATTGTAGGTGAATTAAATTTAGTAAAAACATCATTATCAATTTTTTCTTCTTTACTATTCATGTTAAGTTCACTGAGTTTTTTTATTACATGTGATTTATCCTTATGTGTTTTTTTATCTACTCCTCTCTTATAATTTGAAGGACGTTTATTATTTCGTCTATTTTTGTTACACTTTATTTTATAATCAATATTTAATGATGTATCATAATAAAATTCATTGTCAAGATACCTTTTAGGAGCCCTTCGTTGAGTTCTTAAATTGTCTCGAATGTGTGCATTACATGCTTTTTCTGTTGATTCACAACTTTTATTTGTACTATATTTCTTTTTATTTCTTTTTTTATCTCTCTCGTCTTTATAAACCTGAGTATTTTTATTAGAACTTTCTATTTTTTCAATCTCGTCTAAATTATCAAATATAGTAGGATCAATAATTTCCTCAAAATCGGATGAATCGGCTACATTATAATAATTAATAAAATCATCAATAAGTTTATCTTCTAAATGAATTTTTACTATATGAATAAAAAAAAAAAAAATGTATTTATATTTTTAATAGGTTCATTCTTTTTTTCATATATTTATTTATAAATATATAATAATTCTTTTTAATACATATCATAATTCACTTTGTTTATTTTATTTTTTTTTTTATTCATATTATAGAACTATTTAATTAATGGAATCATAAGAATAAATACAAAATTTTATCGTTTTCATTTTTATTATTTTTTACATCTATCTTCTTCCATTAGTTTTCTTATATATTCAAATTTGTTATTTTTTAAATTAGCTCTTAAGAAATGCAAGGAATTGTCATTTTTTATTTTGTATATGAAATATAAAAATGAAAAATTTCTTAGACATGAAAAAGAAATTGTTAAGATAATTAAATGTAATGAAAAAATAAATTTCATTTTTACTAAATAAGCATAAAGAAAAAAAAATAAAAATTTATTATACTTATTCTTTCTTTTATATGACTAATTTAATAACTTAATAACCTTAAAAAACTAAAATTTAATAATTAGTTTCTGTAGATAAATATTAATTATTGTATTATATGAAATGAAGTTTTCCCTTTATTTTTAATTTATAATATATAAAATTTTAAGATATACATTTATAAAATTTTATTTCTTAAAGTTAAATAAATATTTTTTAATTTTATATATTATTAAAATAAAAAATTAGACAATCATAATCTACAAAATGTAATTATTCCACTATTTAAGACGTATTATGATCTAGTATAAAATTTTTAACATGCACAATAGCTCATATATATTCCAACAAAATTATATATATTTAAGTGAATTTATGCATACCTAGTGCATTGTATATATATTTTATATTTTGCTATACGATACTGTTATTTTTTGCCTAATTTCTATATTAGGGATGAAATGAAGTAATGCTCTTCTAATTCTAATTTATAAATATTTGCCTTTTAATAGAATAGTTAAAAAATCCATATTCATAATTATTTACTTATAAATTTAATTTTTTTTTAATTGGAAATTTTAATAAATGTTTAGAGAAATATTCACTAATTATAATTCATACATTATGTAATGTTAATAGAGTTTTTTTTCATTTAATTTATAATAGTAAGTAATGAAGATAAATAGTCGAATTAAAACAAACCATAATATATATCAATATAGCAGAATAAATTAATGAAAAGTTAAAAAATAAATACTTAACACATGAGTAATTCTATAAAAAAAAAAAAATACACATAATTTTTCCTTAAAATATATATATATAATTTATTAATTTTTGTTTTTTTCCTTTCATAATATACTAAGAAATTAACTTAATTTTCTCATTTTACTCTTAAGCTCATTTTGTAAACCAAATAAAATTCAATAATAAGAAAAACAAGAAAAAAATCCATGTAAAAATGAAATTTTATTATTATAAAATTTATAAACAGTACAATGATTTTTCACTAAATAAAAAAAAATTCATAAAATTCATCATAATAAACTAGATAATAACAACATATAAAACAAAAAAAAATTCGTCCTCTTAATAAAAAATATATTTTTGTGTCACTATAACAATTTAAATGTTTAACTAATTTTGAATACTATGTATATATAAGCTTCTATTTTTTATTGGACTGACTAATAAAATTTTAAAAAAATAAAAAAATTCTAAAAGCTTTCTGTTAACTAATATATGTACATTTAATTTTCAAACATAGCATTAAAAGCTTAAATATACAATGATAAATAAAACAAAATTACACAATATATTTTGCTATTATATAGGTTTATTTTAATGTTTCATGTTAATAACATCATGATATTTAACAATAGAAAAGTATCATTAAAATTTTTCTTAAGATAAAAAATAGGTAAAACAGAACCTTAAATTAATTCTAATATTATTGGTAATAATTTACCTAATATCAATAAATTAGAATTATATCAGAGATAATTGTTTATTTTATCCCTTATAATATTTTTTCTATTATTTTCTTATTTTATACAATTAGTAATAAATAGTATTATTAATTTTTTTGAGTTATTAAAATGAGGCAAACTTATATATAAATGTTTAATTATGTATGTGAGACATTTTATAATATATATATGTATATATTAATACAAAATTTATTATGTGTCAATATTTTTTTTCTTCATAATTAAATTTAAAAAAAAAAAATTAAAATTAATATTTTTATTTTTTAATAAAAAGAAATGTAATATATTATATTGAAATTATAATATTTTGAGAAATATAAATTATTATGTAAATTAGATATAAATTATCGTAACGTGAAAATATGTGAATATTTTATAATTTTTATTCCTAATTATTTTTTTTTTTTAATTAATAAAATATTCTTTAATTCATTAAAATGTAAAAGAATAATAATATATATCGGCCTAATGTATATTTTATTTTTTTTTAAATGTTATATGGAATAATGTAGTTATTTCATGTTACATTTTTCAATAACTGTACATATATATTTTTTTCATAAAGGTTATTGTGTAACTGCTAAATTAAGTAGAGTTTATTCTACCTGACTTTACCAATTTGACTATACAATACTTTCCTGAATTCATTGAATTGCTAATTAATAATTTAAATATATAAAGTAATAATAAAAGTTTTTTAAAAGAAGTTTTATACAGTTATATTTATTCCAAAAAAAAAAAAAAAAAAAAAAATTTTCTCACTTATGCTTTTACTTTTTATAGATTAATCTATTTCCTTGTTCACTACTTTTTTTATATAGAAAAGAATGATTAAAATTTAGGACAACATTTTCTGCTAGTCTATAAAATTGAAGTATCTACAAATACTTTAATTATATAAATGAATATTTTGAACAAATATTTACAGAATCCATTTTTATCACTAAGACGTGAATTAGAGCATTGTCATATTCTACTATATTTCTTTCTATTTAATATAATGTTATATATTATATTTTATTAAATTAATTATTTTATCGAAAAAAAGTTGAAGGAATAATTTATATAGTGAATTTCATGATAGATAAAATGAATTTCTTTATAAAGATTTTTTTTTTTTTAACACTATCGTAATAAAAATTCCTTCTAATAAAATACAAAAAAATTAAAAGATAAAATAATTTAATATTTTAATTTAAAATATATATAATAATAAAAATTTAATAGTGTGATTTATTAAAAAAAAAAAAATTGTAATAAAAAACTTTAATCTTTTTTTAAATATACTTTTTAGCTACCATGTATATTATAAATAATATATTTTTCTAATAAAAATTTAAGAACTATATTATAATTTGCACTATATTTTTACTTTGTCAATGTTCTTATTAAGCAACTCTATATAAACCTTTCTTTTTTTTTCTAATAAAACATAAGAATAATATTATAAACAAATAATTTCATATAATCTATGAACCTAAATATAATAAGAAAATAAAATAAAAGTTTTATAAACTAATATTAAAAGTATAATTAAAAAAATGGTAGTTAAAATAGAATATTTATTTAATGTAAATCCTTGTTTATCAATATATGATACATTTTAAGTGTCTATTTTAATACATAATTAAAGTTGTGGAATATATTTTTTTGTTCTTTTATAAAGAAAAATATAGAAATTATTAAACTATTAGTAAAAATATAAATTAATATAATGGAAAGGAAAAAAAATTATTATTTTCAATGAAAATAATTATGTTTTTCCATAATGTGATAAAATATTTAATGCCCCATGAAAATGATTTAAATCAATTTCTGTATTAATTAAAAAATAAATTTTATAGTCATTGAATATTTAATTCCTAAATGATGATGTAATTACTATGTAACTCTTAGGAATTACAAATAATTATTATTAATATCAATGTTTTTCTTTATTATAAGTTTATAAGTTTTAAATTACTACATAGGCACTCTTTTTTTTATTGCTTGTTTATGATAAACTAAAACTTTTTTATAAAAACGTTTATAATATATTTAAGGAAAAATTATTAATTTATGTAAAAGAAAATTTTTTTTTATACTATATAGTAAAAAAATATGTTATAATAATGCTTATGCTTTTGTCATATTATAAAATGAAGTATTGATATATTAACTGGATGTTCGGTGACTTCACTCGAGAACTGAACAAACAAATTAATAAAGAGCATGTAGAGGTGTCTCTACGATTTTGTTGTATTTATATGTATTTTTATATGCTTTGAACGAGTATATCTTAACTATGTGCTTTATTTCGTTCAACATTCTTTACTTTCAATAGGCATTTATTTACTTTAATAGAAATCCTTATTTTTATTAAAAATTTAAATCCTTATTGAATATTGACTATTAATTAAATATAAATTAATTATTTCTTTGTTATGAATTATATTCAGCAATTTAAACATATTGCTGTTGAATTAACAAACATAAACAATTAGTAAAAATGAAAATAAATTATATGAATATTAATTACGTGAAAATTTTAGTGTCATATGTATAAAATTTTCTCTAATAAATTCAAAATATAAATATTATGCAAATTAAACTCTTTTATAAAAACATTATTATTTTTAGTAAAAAAAATCTCTCTCAATAAAAATCTCTTTCCTTTAAAAAAAAATGAATAATAATTCTTTTTTTTATATTTTTTTTTTTTTTATATTTCTTTTTTTTCAAAAGAAACATATCTCAAAAAAAATTCCAATAATTATTTTCTTTTTTTTAGTTAGCACAACTATGTATTCTCCAAATAGCTAGTCCTTTTATAGCCAAAAATGTTAATTAAGCCCTTTATTAACCAAATATCCAAAAAAAACTAAAAATTAACAAAAAAAAAAAAAAAAAAATCAATTTAACTTATTCTAATTAATCCTAAGGTGTAAAAGCTAGATAAATTTAATAAATCAAAAAGAATAAAAGAGGAAAATTACATAAAAGTTAAGAATGTGACTTGCAAATATTTTAAAATGATTTAAAAACAAAAAATTAATTTTTATTTTATTTATATCATAAAAACCCTTAAATATATGAAAACATTTGAAATTTAAAAATCTTTGCGTTTTGTAAATTATAGGTTTTATAATATCTAGTAAACTAATGCAGAAAAAAAAAAAAAAAAAAAAAAATTACCCTTAATATTATATTAATAAATCATTAATTCATTATAAAATAAAAATATAATATAATGAATAAAATATTTTAATTTTCATATATTATTTTTAATATTGAATTTTTCAACGATACACTCATTTTTTTTTCCATTTACTAATATGTTATTGATTATTATTTATAATTAAATAAAATTTTCTCTATTGAAACATTTTGTGCACTTCTTAATATAGCATAATTCGTTAAATATAAATTATTATTTTCATTATTTCTTATGCCAAATATTTAATAAAAATACCATTATTATTAATTAAACGTGTTAAAATAAAACTTAATGAATGGTAAATAATTTGGGACCTCTGACGACACTCTTTTTCATTCAATCTATTCTTATTAAAAGCAATATAATTGCACTCATCAACGCAATGTTTTATCATATCTAAAATAAACTTATTTTCTAAATATAATTCATCTAACTCTTTTAATTTTTCTTTAATTTTGTATATAAGGAGAAACCACTGAGTGTAAAATTTTAATGTACTTCTTTGTTTGTGATATAAATTAAATATAGTAGTTATGTTTTCATAAATTATTCTTTCATCATCTTCTGATTTCGTATTTTGTAACCTGCTAATATTTAAATATAATTTTGATAAAATATCTTGAAAAACTAGCAAAAACTCAACTACTTTGTTGATTGAAATTAACTTTTCTAGTAAAGGAGCTGCATTATTCCAATTTCTTAAATTTTTAAAATTCGTTTTATTTTCATCTTTATATTTTCTAAAGGAAAATCTTTTAGTTTTTTTTATTTCTTCTAAACAAAGTTTTCTCTTAAACATTTTTAAATTTTCTTGATTATTTTGTAGTGCTTCCATTAAGTTCTTTTTTATTTCTAATTCTTCTCTATCATTTTCAAATAATAATAATAGTTCATCCTTCCGTGATTCATATTTATTTTCGTAATTAATAAAATACCATCTTAAAAAATTCATAATCTTGCGCATTTTGAATTTTTTTTTCATTTTAAAAATACGAAAAAAAATTTTTTCCGTTAAATTATACTCTTTTTTTGCATTATTTATTATAATATCCATTGTTTTCATATGACTATTCAGACTTTCAAGGACTTCTTTATCCATTTTTAAATCATCCAATTTTCCATACGATATGGATGATAAAAAAAATATTACTTTACTTAATTTATTTATTCCTAATAAATCATTAAAAAAGCTAAAATTAAATTTTCTATCGTCTAGCATAAAATTTTCGTAAAATTCTGAAACTTTTGTTATAGTTTCAGTTGTTTCAGAAAGATCCGTTAAATAATTGTGAATAAATAAATTAAAATTTTCCATCATATTTTCTGCTTTCGCAATATTATCTTTCTCCATATGAAAAATATTCTTTGTATTTGCACACTTTTTTTTTAACATTTTTATATATAATTCTATATTATGCCCTTTTATAATATATGGAGAATTATTCTTATTTTTTATTATATCATATAAGTTTCCTCCTTCTCCTTTAAAAGGTAATTTTAAAAAACTATTCGCAAACTTCGTATATATAATACGAAAATTATTTGCTCTTTCCATAGTAGTATTAGTAACATAAGAATAAATACTTCTTAAGCACTTCATCGTAGTATTATTTCCTATTGATATATCAGTGTAAAATCCACTGGTTAATAAATTATTGAAGTTAGGTTTTTCACATTTTTCTGGATCTTTAGATTCTAATTGTCTCGAAGCATTTCCAATTAATTTTGACTCATCTATTTTTAGTTCCTCAACGTCATCACAGTTTTCATTTTTAGTTTTACTCAAAATATTAATTATACCCTCATTGTACTCTTCCCCTTTTTCTATAAAATTTGTTGTATCATTTTCCTCAGAAATGAGTGCCTCTTGTTCATTCGTATCTAGTTCATTTCTTTCTTCAGAATTTGGTATAAGATCTCCTTCACAGGAATATTTAATTTGATCACTTTCTGTTAGACTACTAAAAGGAAAAAAAATATTTTAGAAAGAGGTTATATTTAAAAAAAAGTATTATATTTACCTTGATGCAATAGAGTAAGAACACGTGCATCCTCTGCACCATAACAATAACCAAAATAAAACCTTAATAAAAAACAATAAAAATATATTTTTAGTTATTAATAAAAATTTTATGTAAATATATATAAACTAATACTGGATACAGAATAATGGTAAACCTAAATATATTTACTTTTGCCAAACAAAAAACATTCATAATCATAATTATAACCAGAAAAAATAAGGAATAAGATATATTCTCATTCATAATAGGAAAAACCTGGCAATTTTTTCTTCTATTTTAAAAAAATTACATTATTATATGCTAAACTCATAATTAAAAAAAAATATATTAATATTACTATACACAATTTTGATTATATATATTTTTATGAATATTATAAATAATTATATTCATTTATAATCACTAAATTACCTTTTTCATATTTAATGTTATAAATATCACTATTTCTTTTAATATGTTTCAAATACTCCCACGTTTTCTTTTATGCATGTTATGTGTTTGCAGTTTTTAGATTATTAAAAAATAAAGCAACCTTAACACACAATTTTTTTTTCTAACCTTTTTGCATGTAAAGAGCACCTTAATGAAATTTTTGTAGTTTATATTTGTATTAAAAATGTTCAACCCTTATAACTTATAAAGAGATAGATAATAATAATTACTTAATAATATATGCACATACTTTTCCTAGAAAGTCAATATACTGGACCACATGAAATAATAAATGAAAAATATTATAAAACTCATCAAATTAAATTTTTGAATATAGTTAAATATTTTTTCCTTTCTTTATTGTATTTTATTTATTAATTTACAAATAAGGTTAAATATGTTTTTATTAAAATCGACAATATAATCATGTATTTTATGTATTAATTTACAAATAAGGTTAAATATGTTACTATTAAAATCCATAATATAATCATGTACAAATTTGATTATAGAAATATGAATATTTTTAATAAATTTATTAAAGTATAATACAAAAATTTTATAAAAATTTTCAACATTTTATTTAAAATTTTACTTTTAGTATTTTTCATTTTAAAAAATTGTAAGAGATCTACTCTAACTTTTTAGAATACTTTATTATACATTCAGTTTAATTAAAATAAAATTTTCATTTTTTCTTTCTATATTCCAATTAAAGCATTTAATTAAAAATAAATATAATATTTTAATTTATAGAATAAGCACTTTATTTTTTTATGAAATTTCATGTGTATACATTTAATATAAATTTACGTAATTATTGTATGCATTAGGAGTATTAATTATTAAAAAAATTTTATTTTATATATCATAATGTATATATAATAAAATAAAACACAATTAATACATATAAAATAGGTAATAGTATTTTTGTTAAGAGTTAATTTTTATTTCTATTTTTAAAATAGGAAAAAATAACATATTTATAGAGTGTTTATGGAAAATATTTTATGCTTCACTATATAATTACTATTAATTTCTTTTAATCAAAAGATAGTGAAAATCCATTTGTTAAACACTTAAAAAGGTACCAAAACAAATACATAGGTTTTTATAAAAATATAATTTTGCTTTAAAAAAAGGGAAGAAGATTTTTTCTTAGAAAGTAATACAGTAACATTTAAAAATATATATAACATTTTTATAATCATAGAATTGTTTTGTAGAAGTTAATTTGATTAAAGCTACATATTTTATAATTTTAATAAGTATATCTAAAACATTTAATATATTGTTAGCATAAAATGTTTTATGATAAGTATTCACAAAATATTTTTTTTCTTTAAATGCTCCTTTCTTTCTTTTTTCTTCATACAGAGTATTTTTAGTTTTATAAAGAACATAAATCTTTCATTACTCTTATTTTTATATCTAGTAATATTAATCATTTAATTTTTTTTAATATGAACACAATTTTAAGCATGACAAAAATTATTTTATGAGTGTTTTTTTTTTAAAACCAATTTTTTATCTATTAACATATAATATATATATATATATATTAATATAAGAAATTCTACTCATTGATAAATGAAAAATAGGTAAACATATAATTATAATATAATATGTACACATCTTTTCTATATTTTTAATAGACTAATATATTATTACGTTAATGCACATTTTTAGTTTATCTCATTTAATAAAAAGTTAAATACATTTTATAAATTATTTTAGCTATTTCACGAAATATATAATATTGGGATAAAATTACGTATAAGTTTATTAAAGAAAACCATTTTATATATGTAAATGGAGAATTAAGAATAAGAAATACATACAAATGATCTCTTTATTTTCTAAAAGTAAATTAAAATAAAATAAACAATTTTTTATAATGGAAAAATACCTTTGTAATAACAATGGAAATTCTATTTTCTTTAGTATAAATATCATTTTTAGTTTTACCTATATTATTTCTCTTTTTTAGAGTAAAATAATAAGAAAAGATTTACATTCTTTTTTTATTCTTATTCCTTTTTATTAAAAAAACTAAGGTAAAAAAAAAATTTAATAATTAATGTATGCAAAAACATAAATATTTTTAAAAATTTTTTCCTTTGGATAATATTTTTAAATAAAAAACATTAAACATAAAATATATTAGAACAAAATGATAGAAAAAATCAAAAAAAAAAAAAAAATCACACACTCATATTTTTTTTTATTTATTAATGAAAGTATTTAAATTAAAAATTACATTAAATATTTTTCTTTTTTATTTTTAATAAGCATAATGTAATACTTTATAATTAACTGATATTTCTTATTTTTATTAAGGTCTAATTATTTTTAAAAAGGGTCTATTTTTAATAATTAAAAATAAAGGTAATAATAAAAAAATATAAATTTTTAAAATTATTCATATATAATATTTTAATTTTTATAACTTTTTTTTTTTTTTTTTTTTTTTTTATTTTGAATAATAAATAAATATACTAAATGTTGAAAAAAAAAATTTTTTTTATTATAAAATCCCAAATATTGTTAATATTTAAGCATTAAATTAAATAAATGAACAAATTTTTTTTTTTTAAATGTAAATTGTTTTTAAAAGGTTGATAAAAATTTATCTATTTATATCTTTTTTTAAAAATTTTACAAATGAAATAAAAATATATTTTATTCTTTAATTTTATTTTTTAATTAAATTCATTAATTTTATGAAGTTTTAAATTTATTAAAATTACATTGTAGAATTATTCATATTTTATTAAATAATTACTTAAAATGAAAGGGAAAAAAGAAAAAATTACAGAAGAGGACATTGACAAAGAATTGAATAATATTGACAATTATAAAATAGATAATAATATAAAAGTCCCATATATTTTAAAAAAAGAACTTAAAATAGAAAATAATAATTGTATAAGAAAAGAAAATTATAACAATACTAATGTTAACAAGTTTTATAATGAAGAAATTTTCTCAGAAAAAAGAGAGATTTATACTCCTGACAGTGAAGTTAGTGAAAGCATTACTACTGAAAATGTAAGCAAAGAAAAAGAAAGTGAAGTTAACAATTTAAATGAAAAAAAAAGTGAAGTTAACAATTTGAATGAAAAAGAAAGTGAAGTTAACAATTTAAATGAAAAAGAAAGTGAAGTTAACAATTTAAATGAAAAAGAAAGTGAAGTTAACAATTTAAATGAGAAAAAAAGTGAAGTTAAATTAAATGAGAAAAAAAGTGAAGTTAACAATTTAAATGAAAAAGAAAGTGAAATTAACAATATGAATGAAAAAGAAAAAGACGTTAACGATTTAAGCGAAAAAGAAAAGGAAAATGAAGATCCAAAAATAAAAGGTAACTTAAAAGATTATTACCAAAATTTACCAACTGTTATAATTGTAATTGGAATGGCTGGAAGTGGTAAAACAACGTACGTTGGATCTTTATATAAATATTTAAAAATAGAAAAAAAAAAAAAAGTATATACAATTAATTTAGACCCAGCTGTTAAATATTTACAATATCCAACGAATATAGATATAAGAGATAGTATAAAATACCATGAAATAATGAAGGAATATAAACTTGGTCCAAATGGAGCTATAATGACATGTTTAAACTTATTCGCTACAAGATTTGATAAAGTGATTGAAATATTAGAAAAAAGAAAACAAAAACTAAACTATATAATTGTTGATACTCCAGGGCAAATTGAAGTATTTAATTGGTCAGCTAGTGGTAATATTATATTAGAAACACTTTCAGTTAGTTTTCCAGTTGTAATTAATTATGTTATTGATACTGTTAGATGTGAAAGACCTATTACATTTATGTCTAATATGCTATATGCTTGTAGCGTTTTGTATAAATCTAGATTGCCTTTCTTGGCTTGCTTTAATAAAATTGATATCATTAAGCATGATAAATGTATTGAATGGATGAAAAATTATGATAGTTTCAATGAAGATGTTTTAAATGATGAAAGTTATATGGCAAGTTTTAGTAGGTCATGCGCATTAATGATTAATGAATTTTATGAAGGCATTAAAACAGTAGGGATTTCATCAAAAACAAATGAAGGTTTTAATAATATATTAAAAAATTTAGAATATCTAAAGGAAGAATACATAAGTGATTATGTACCATGTATAGAAAAACAAATGAAAAGAATTAAAAAAAAAAAGGAAAAAGATATAAAATTGAAAATGGAATCTTTATTAATGGAAAAACAGAAAAATATACCAATATCAAAAAACTGATATGCAAATTATAAAAATGTTTGTGTATTTCTTCTTCACTTCAAAGTAAGATGTTTTTTTTTTTTTTTCTTTTTTTTTTTGCTCCTAAAAAAATTTCCGTAAATAAATTAATTTTATTATTTATTTAAAGCCCTTATTTATTCCCTATATATTTAAAAATAAAAAAATACATTTATTTGTACATGAAGCATTGTATATGTATCTTTAATTTTAATATTCTTTAATTAATAATGATTTTGTTAAAAAGGTGAAAATTTAAAATTTATATTTTTAATTCTTTGATCTTTATGTAAAATGAATTTAAAAAATTAATAAATATAAGAATTTGTATAATTAAATTTTTATTTCTTCATTAAAATAAATTAAATTTGCATAATAGTTATTAATTTCAAGATATATGCTTTTATCATTTTTGAAAATTTCTAAATTCCTTTTTGTTTAATTATTTACTTAGTATAAGTTTCAAATATTTCTACCTACTTTTTTTTATATAAATTTTTTTTTTTTTTTTTTAATAAATATTATTCATTTTTTTTATAAGTATAATAAATGTATTTGTTTATGAAACAATTTTTTTTATTTTCTTTTATGGCCTATATTTTTTTTCCTATTAATAGATAAATGTATTTATTTATTCTCCACTCTTTAATACTGTTTTTAGTAAAGATAAGAAACCTTTATTTTTTTCTTATAATTAAAAAAAAAAAAAAAAAAATCTATAATATTTTTAAGTATTCTAATATTTGTTTATAGATAATAAAAAAAAAAAAAAAATTACGATAACAAACATGGAGTAAAATAAATTTAAATGCGCATTTGTTATATTATTAATTTAATAAAAAAATATGAAAAAGAAATTAATTTCTTTTCGAAATTTCTAGGAAATAAAAAGAAACTAATATTTCATTATTTACAAAAACATCAACACATTTAGTTAAAATAAAATAGTAATTCTTCCATACTATTATAAAATATGTTTCTATTTTATTATATTTTTTTTTTTTTTTTTTTTTTTTGCTTTTAATTTTCTCATTTATTTCTTCTTATACCATTTTCTAATTTTTCTTATTTGAAATACTTTATATTCATTTTAATAAACTTTTTTTTTAACATTTTTCAATTTAAAACTTTTTCATATTTTTAAATAAACCCTTTTTTTATCTAAACTTTTTATTTATATAAATTCACTTTTCAATATATACATTTGTAACATCTTATATTTTTATATCCACATTGTATGTATTTTTTTAACTTTTATTATATCCTTTTTTTTTTTAGTTACATTTTAATATTTCTACTTCTTTTTTTTTATCTTTTTTTTTCATTTTATATTAATATCTAAAAATTCAAAGAATATCACATTACTTACACATTTTTCTGAGTTACTCATTGAATTACTATTTTTTTTAAAACAAATGTTCAATAATTTTAAGTAAAAAGAAACTTCATATTTTTTGTACTATGATATTTGTCTTTATACCTCTAAATTTTAGATTATCTTATAAAAACTATTAATCCATATTAAACACACTTTTGTAAATTTTCTTTATATTTATATTATATATATATATATATATATATATATAAACGTACTTAAAGAGTTATATGATTGTTCCATACATGAAAATTGCAAAAAAACTTCTTAATAGTTCTTTCGTTGTTGTTCATAATCACATATTATTAATAATATTTTTAATCATAAACTTTTTTTATTAAATTTTTTTTATATATTTAATATTTCTCATAATATTTTATAGATAATTTTCCCAATTTTTATCTATGCAGCTATACATTCTATTCTATTTAAAACTTCTAAGTTTGTATTTTTACACTTGTTTAAATTATAATTAGTGATTGCTTCTAATCTTTCTAAAGTATTTAGTGATAATAACTTCGAAATAATGTTAACTAGTTTTTTTGAATAAAATGATGAAATACTTTTAACAATGTAATTTTTATAGTTTTTATCTTCAAATAACGAAATCATTTCACTCATATTTTTTGCTGAAAATGGTGAAGATAATGTAGCTAATTCAAATAAAATACAACCCACTTGAAATAAATCACTCAATTTATTTGTTCTTCTAAATTTAATTGATTCATAACTTAAAAAATTTAAAGTTCCTAAGTTGTTATTTGTTCCTATTTGTGATATACCAAAATCTCCTATTTTTATTTTATCATCTTTTATAAAAATATTTGTACTTTTTAAATCACCATGAATTATTCCACTTTTATGAATTGAACTTAATCCATTTAAAATTTGATTTAAAATGTTAAAAATTTCACTTTCTGTGTAAATTTCATTGTTCAACTTTCTTCTTAAGATGTCTGAATGTAAATCACCTTGACTACAAAATTCTAATATTAAAGAAAGCGAATCATTTTTTTTAATAAAATCAACAATTTTAACAACATTCTCACAGTTTTCTAATTTCTTCATTATGTAAAGTTCATTCATATATTTACTTAAATCATTTTCACTAATACCATATATGTCATACACTTTTGAAATAAAAATTTCACCTGTTTTTATTGATTTTATTACATGTAATTCACTATTTGATGTTAGTATATCTAAAACTGTTTCAAATGTATACCCATAGTTAGTATATAGATTGTGTTTTTCAGCTGAATCATTTGATGGTAATAGTAATGACAGCATATTAATGAAAAAGGTAATAGATAAACAAATAAGAAAATAAAATAAAGCACAAAAAAAAAAAAAAAAAAAAAAAAAAAAAAAAAAAA